TTTGAGATTTAGTTGTAATTCTTTTTGTGGTTGTGCAAGGAGATGAAGCATGTCTAATATGCCTCCATCTTGACTGGAAGTCTTTCCAGTTTCTATTATATACTGTTGCAGGAGCCTTTTTAGGTTTCAGTTGATAATCAAAAAATTTTCTCGATATTGTTATTTGTAATGATGAGCTATTATACTGGCTTTATAATTATCCACCATGTAAGTGAATGTACCAGGAAGGAAGGAAGAGCGAGGATAACAAAAGCAACATAAAGTGCCAGTATCCCTAAACACTATAAAAACATGTAGAGCACCTAGGATAGCAAAACCAAAGAATTCATGCTGGTGAAAGTGATGCTGTGCTAATTTTTGGCCTACCCTTCGTGGAGCACAGCAACTTTTGTTTCTGCTCTGGGAAAGCCACTGTCCATGTAAGAAGCCAAAATACCTTGACACCAACATGCTGTGAGGACGCCTAAGGTAGCCATGTGTAGATAACAGGTAGAGAAGTGATTAGGCATCAGACATAAGAGTGAGGCCTTCTTGTACCATCCGGGTGAACCTTGTTAGCTCAGTGCAGCAGTGCATAATACCAGGTATTACCACATGAAGCAGTGAAAGCTACATAAAGTCCTGACCCACAGAGCTGAGAAATAACAGGTCATTTTAAACCACTTAAGTTTTGGACTCGTTTCTGTGCAGCAGTAGAAATTGATATAGCAGCCAAACTGATTTTCAAATGTAGAGATTGCTGTCCACATATAAGAGTGCAAGTGCTAGCCCTGACCAGGTGGTTCAGTTAATTCGAGTGTCTTCCTGATATACCTTGGTTGCAGATTTGATCTCTGGTCAGGGCCCTTATGGAGAAGCAAACCAATGAATCATGATGAGTGGAACAATAAATCAGTCTCTCTTTCTTTGTCTCCCCCTTTCTGGTAGTCTCTCTCCCTCCCTCTTTCTTCCTAAAATCAATCAATAAATTTTTTTTTAAAAGAATAGAGGTTCTTATAAATGGATGGTTCTTCTGACCTTTTCCTAGGAATCTGTTAGACCGTACACTTGAGACAACCAAAATGATTAGAGAAACATCAAAGTATATATAGAAGAATATAGTATATAATAACTGTATGTGTTATTTTATTTTTAAATTACAGTTTATATTCAATATTATTTTGTATTAGTTTCAGGTTTACAGCGTAGTGTTTAGATCTACTTTACAAAGTGTACCCCTCCACCTGATACCATAGATAGGTGTAACAATGTTATAGGCTACATTCTCTATGCTCTACTTCATTTATTATTTATTTATATACTTACCATTTATTTTGTTTACAGTGGCTTTATTTTAATAGCCCCCCCAAAAGGGAACAACCCAAATGTCTGTCAACAGATGAATGGATAAACAAATTGTGCAATTTCCATACAATGGGATACTACTCAGCAATGAAGGAATAAACTGTAGATACATACAACATGAATGTATATTGATAGAATTACACTGAGTTTAAGAAGGCCTCATGCTGTATTACGCTATTTACAGAAATTTCTAGAAAATTCAAGGTAACTGATAGTGATAGAAAGCAGAATCGTGATAGCGTGGACATGGGAGGCAAGACAGAGAGAGGAATAGGAGTGAGAGATAAGGTGATGGAGAAAACTTTGGGGGTAATGTTTATGCTCATTACTTTGGGGGAGAATTTCATGAGGATATACAAATGTCAGAACTCATCAAGTTGTACAATTTGAACATGCATGTTTTTGTCTATCAGTTACACTTAAGTAGAGATACGTGAAAAAAAAAATGGGTACCATTTCATAGTCATCTAACTCTGTGGGGAAAACATTATATAAGTAATTATTCCATTAATCTTCACTCTAGGTAATTTATTCAGCCCATTTTACAGATGAGGTAATTAGATCAGAAAGGCCAGGTAATCACACAGCTATGGTCAAGCCAGGCTCAAACCCAGGACGAACGTCTGTGAGGCTGGGGCATTTTTCTCTGTATTATGATGGTCTCCTGCAATGGTGAATTCCCAGCATGAAGCCGTAAGTGACAGCCCCCAGCCTAAGCAAGTCCTCTAGGAAGAGTCTCAGTGCTGACAGAGACCTGGTACCAGGGCTGGGGCAGTTTTAAGGAGGCTGGTTCACTTCAGCTGGACACCATAACTGCTTCTCTCCAGGCAGCTGGCTGTGGAGCTCTGCTCAGTTGGCCCTCCCTTGCTCACTGTGTGCTGTGTGGAGGCTGTGGCTACTCTACCTGCTCAACACTCCAGCTGGCCCTGTACTTTATTTTGTAACTATTAATTTGTACTTCTTAATCCCTTAACCTTTTTTACCTAGTCCCCCAACCCTCCTCCCCTCTGGCACCATCAATCTGATGGTTACATGGAGGACTTCTGTAGCTGCTGACATGGTTCCCTCTCCTGATTTGTGTGGTGGTTACAAGTTCATTTAGCTATAATTTCTGTATGGGATTTTCTTTGTAGTATCTAATATGTATTTTTAAATACTTTATTTTTTTTTTTGAGTAATTTTTGGTTCATAGCAAAACTGAGAGGAAAATACAGAGAATTCTCATATATCCTATGCCCCCATAGATGCATAGCTTCTTCCTCCTTAATCAGCATCCCCTGCTGGAGGGGTACATATGTTACAACTGATGACTAACTTAAAGTCCATAGTTTATATTATGGTTCACTGTTGCAATACATTCTGTGAGTTTGGACAAATGTATAATGGCATGTGTCCATCATTCTAGTGTCATACAGAGTGTTTTCAGTGCCCTAGAAACCCTCAGTTCTCTGTTTACTCATCCCCCAACCCCTGGCAATCACTTATCTTTTCACCATTTCCATAGTTTTGGCTTTTCCAGAATGTCATATAGTAGGAATCATATAGTAGGTAGCCTTTTCAGAATGGCTTCTTCCACTTAGTAATATACATTTAAGTTTCCTCTCTCTCTTTATAGATCGATAGTTCATTCATTTTTAGTGCTGAATAATATGTTTGTATTATTTTTGATAATAAAAGTCTAAAAATAAGAAAAGGAAATTGGAGTGGAGGCAACTATATTAGGAAATGGTGAGAGATGATGTCTTACAGATTTTTTAAGACTTGTTGACTGAGGATTTTATTAAATGCTATTCTAAGAATATTCAACACAGTAAGTCAGTGAGGTTTATTAAAAAAGGGGCTCAAGTGCTGAAAACTGTTTGTAAGAGGATACATCTGACAGGATGGATTTCAGTAAGTGACTGGAAAGCCAGCCAGGAGACCACGGTATTAAAATGAAGGTGATAAAAATTTGGGTTAGGGTGATGCTTGTAGGAACACAGTTAAAATAACGTGTGCTATGCAACAAAAGAATAGTCAGTAAGATTTGGTGACAGATTATAACTATGGTTAAAGGTAAAAGCATTAGAAATAAATTCAAAGATTTCATGTTTGTGGCTATATCCTTTATTGGGTAGGTACTGGGGAATTCTGGCAAGACAATTTTAGGTGATTAGACTAAAATAAGATCTGCATTTCTCCTCATGATGTGTTAAGAATCCCAGAGGAATAATTGCTAGGAATACTACATTCCAAATGGTTTTTCTAAAAATGCAATCTGGCAAGCAAGAAACTGACAGTAGTGGTTGTATTGGGAAAGTTTATAGTTGGGACATAGAGATACAAGGGTGACTTCATCTTTTTTAGCTTTTGAATTTTTAACCATGTGCTTATATTACCTATTCAGAAAATAAATAAGATGTAATTAAAAAATAAAGATGCCCAAGTCTTCCACTTTCCAGGAGAAATTCTTATTTGGCATTCTTTTATTATTTTAAGTACTTCAGACTATAGTTAGAAAAGCAGTCAGGTAAGCATGTTTAATACCTGGTTGCCTTTGACTTACAGATGTTTGTAAACATATATTTATTTTATGTTTATGTTTTAGTGTTTGTGTATCTCGTGTGTGTGCATGCTGTGGGTGCATGAGTTTGGCTGTGTGTGTGTGTTTCACTCAGGATAAAAAAAAATGTTTACAGCTGGGGCCTCAGGGACCCTGTCTTCTCAGTGCTTTTTTTATTGCTACTAGTTAGGATATGCTTCTTTAGATGGGAAATGTTCTTGCTTTTCAGCTAGCTGCAGGGCCATTCAAAGACGGTAGTGATGCTGCAGCAGCATAAGATGGTCTCTCTTCTTCATTATCACTGCTGAAGCTCCTTACATGTGTGTTATTCCATCAGTTTCCCTTCTCATCAGTCTCCCCCAGGCATTTGTCCTGAATCCAGCTTCTGTAATGAAGTGCCCTGAAACATTTTATTTTATGTTTTAGTCTTTTGGATAGGTAAAGAACCGGTATTAGATTTGATAATGAAAGGTAATAAGAGAGAGGTGAGATATATGGTATTTTTTTTAAAATAACTTTTTCTTGGATAATTATTAATGATTAAAAAATTAGGAAAATGCAAGTAGGGCATGCTTATTCTTTTGAGGTCTAGTAATATTGGGAAAAATTTTTAAGTCTGTTCCCGTAGGTACCTAGAAGAGAGAAACCAGGATTGGAAACACTAAAAGGCCATAGTAGAAAACTAGGCAGTCCTAACACAGTGGATCAGCTTTGGCTCATTGGCACCACTTGAGGGTATTAGAAAAATGATAATGATGCTTAGTTCCCATTGCTAGAGGTTCTTATTTAATTGATTGTGGCTATGCCCTTGACATTGGAACTTTTTGAACCTACCCACTTGAACTTAATAGAAAGTCAAGACTGAGAACCACTGGCCTTGAGAAGAAAACGGGTGTAGGACTGAAGAGAAGAGTCCCTGGGTTTCATAGTATCTCAATCCCAAATTCGCTCCATGTGGGATAAATTGGAGTTGATTTTATTAAAATGATGCTTTTTAAGACTTCTGCTTATTTAGGTTTCTGATTGGTGGAAAACAGAATAGACAATGGATCTGTAGCATCTAGAAAGAATGGGAAGATTTATATACTTATTTAATATTGTGACATTTGTACAGGTTGCCTGTGATTTGCTTCGGAGAATAATTCGCATCTTACATCTCAGTAAGAGACTCCAAGGACAACTGCAAGGGGGAAGTAGAGAGATAACAAAAGCTGCCCAGAGTCTCAATGAACTTGGTAAGTTCTTTTTGATTACAAAGTTAGCAGAGTTTTAAAGGTTTTTTTCAGTCACATGATTTGTTGACTTTTGTTGTGTTATCGTCACCATTAACAAATATTTTTGAGTAAACTTATTTAATAATTGGCTGTTTTAAACATTGTCACACTTTTCAAAATGGGTGAAGAAACTTGATTTCTTAGAAATGCTGTTTATTTTTAAAACTATCATATAGTGTAATAGGCCTTTTAAAAATCCAGACCTGGGGATTTTAACGTATGTATAGATTTATGTAACCTCTAGCACAGACGTGTACAGAATAGCTCCATCACCCCCAAAATTCCATCATGATCTCCCATTATAGTAATGCCTACCCACCCTTTACCTGCCACCCCCAACCCTGGCGACCACCCCGTTGGCTCTGCTTTACTGTAGTTTTGTCTTTTGGAGAATGTCACAAAAGTAGAATCATCAAGTATGTAACTTTTTGAGGCTGACTTCTTGTATTCAGCATAAGCCTTTGAGAATTATCCAGGGTTTTGTATATACAACGTAATTTGTTATTTTGTGTTTGTTGGGATATCACTGTATGGAACCACTGTTTGTTTATTGATTCACTTGTTGAGAGAAGTTTGTATTTTCAGTTTTGGGTGATTATTAATAGAGCTACTATAAACATTCATGTATAGGTTTTTATGTGAACTTCAGTTTTCATTTCTCTAGGAGAAATGCTATTTTTTAGGTGACAAATCCCATGTTGACATTATTCCTAGAAGACTTACTGAATTCATTTCTTCATTTGCTGTTTACTTTCTCAAACATTTAGAGTAGACTCCTGATATTCAAGAGCTTAATAATATTCATGGTTTTAACTATTAACAAGGTCCATAATGAAGCAGTTCCTAATTTTTCAGGCACAATTTTGAATAGCTCTCAAGTATGCATATAATTACCTAACACCTGCATTTTAATGAGGATTTGTGGTTTTCGGTAGGCACCCAGTAATTTTTCTGAAGTGGATCTGTTTAGTGTATTTGTAACTTTGTAGGTTCAAAAGGTCTTTGATTATATCCACCTCAAATATCAAGATTCTACTCAGTCTTGGTGGTGTGCTTTGTACTTAGGCCAAAATAATATCAGAAAGATGTGTATTACATTTTTTAAAAATTTTCTATCTTTGATATTTCAATTACATAGTCATGCTGTCATGTTTATTCCATATTTTTTACTGAGAAAATGTAATATCTTTCACAAATCATGCTAAACACATTTCAATTTATAATGCTTAAATACATTGCTTAGGCACATCATTGGGAATATATGTAACTTGTGATTTGAAATGCTTGGAATATATTGTATAAGAAGTTAAGCTTTTAGCCCTGGCTAGTGTGGCTCAGTGGATTGAGTGCTGGTCTGTGAACCAAAGGGTCGCTGTTCCAATTCCTGGTCAGGGCACATGCCTGGGTTGTAGGCCAGATCCCCAGCAGGGGGTGCACGAGAGGCAACCACACATTGATGTTTTATCCCTCTTTTTCCCTCCCTTCCTCTCTCTCTAAAAATAAATACATTTAAACAAAAAAGTTAAGTTTTTAGCAGTAATGATTGCTTCTTTTCAGACTGTGTGCTAAACGTGTAAAAACCCTCATTTGAGCATTTTTTTTTGCTTTATCAAATTATATTTCTATGCTTCAAAAATAATCTGTAGGATAGTAGAATAAGTGAAAACATACAAATTATTCCAAGGTTTATTATATATATTTTTCATCACTAATATTCTTTCCTAATAAAAAATTGCTAGGTTTTGATTATGATGATCAGCTCTTCTAGAAACAATAGATACTGCAATGCAAATAGTGATCTTTTTTCTTCTTTATTTTTGTTGTTGACAGTATTACAGATTCCCTATTTGCCCTATCTTTGCCCACCTTTACCTGGTCCCATCCCCTTTCCTCTGGCCGTCACCACAGCGTTGTCTGTGCCCTTGGTCATGCACATGTGTTCTTTGGCTAATCTTCACCTTCTTTCATCCAGTCTCCCCTTCCCCTCTGACAGCTGTCAGTCAGTTCCATGTATCCATGCCTCTGTTTCTGTTTTGTTCATCAGTTTATTTTGTTCATTATTAGATTACACATGTAAGTGAGATCATATGATCAATCATAATGCTTTGAATTGGTGCAGCGTAGAGTATAAACCCATTACCCTTCGAGTGAGGTGTTGGCTTTACCCAAAGTTTTATAAATATGATGATGATGAGAGGTTGTTGAGAAAATATTGTTCGTGGAGAGTTTATCTCAAAATGGATTGTGTTAATAAATTTTTAAAGCTTTGTAGGTTATGTACTATTCAAAATTTATGAAGGTATCTCCTACTCATTCGCTGTTGTGGTTCAGTCTTGGTTAGCTCTAGCATTGATATAAGGAGAGGAGGCCAAGAAAGAAATGAAGAAATGAAGAAATTAATATTTTAATAGAAGTAATAATTTGGTTATCACTACCAAAGAAGATTACATATGTATCTAAATTATATTTTTATGACTGGAATGTCTCAAAATTATCAATTTTTATATCATTGTGCGTCTGGTTCTCATTAGAAAGAATAAAATGATGAAGAGTACTGGTATGCAGACTGTAAGCCCTTGAAATTAACGTAAAACCAATCTCAAACTTGAAAGGTCTTGAAGCTTGAATTGCAGTGACCAGATAAAATAATTGTTATCTGCAAATTAAGTATATTCTGAGATCCTGGGAGGAAATGTAATAGAGATTTCTCTTGGGGAGGGGGTGATAAAAATGTTCTGAAATTAAATTGTGGTGATTTTTATGCAACCTTGTAAATATACAAAAAAAGCCAGTGAATTTGTACTTTAAAATATTGAATTTTTGGTATGTGAATTATATGTCAGTATAAAAGTATATAACAATTTAAAAAGTATATATTAATTTAAAAAGTTCATTAAATATATCAATTTAAAAAGTATATAGTATATATAGTGACAATAATCTTACACTGATGCCTTGTTTCTTTAAATTAAATTGAAGTCTAATGAATGACTAATAATAAACTACCTGTATTGAAAATGTACGATTTGGTAAGTTTTGACATGAAGCCCTTGCCAATAAGAAGATAGTGAACATAACCATTGCCCTCAAAAGTTTCCTTATGTGCCTTGGTAATTACCTCCTCTGGCATTTACTGATCTGCTTTTTGTCATTATAGATTGATTGGCACTTTAACAAATTTTGTGTAATTGGAGTCATACAGTTTGTATGTGGTTTTGTTCAATTCCTTTCAGTCAGCCTAATTACTTTGAGATTCATTCATGTTCTGTGTATTGATCACTCATTCATTTTTATTGTTGATAGTATTTCATTGTATGGATATCTTGTAGCTGATTTATCAGTTCACCTTTTGGTGGACTTTTGGGTTGTTCCTAGTTTTTGACTGTTACAAATCAAGTTGCTATAAACATTCATGTACAAGTCTTTGGAAGACATATGGTTTAATTTTTCTCTGATTAATGTGTAGGAGTGGAATGGCTAGATCATATAAGAGATATATGTTTTAACTTTTTATGTACCGTAATTGCCAAGGTGTTTTTCAAAATAGTTGTAACATTTTACATTTCTAGAAGTAGTGTATGAAAGTTCTACTTCCTTTACATCCTTGCCAACAGTTTCTAGAGTCAGCCTTCTTAATTTTAGCCATTCTAATAGGTGCATAGTTGTTAATCTTCTTTTGAGTTTACAAAAAAATGACTAGAACTAATAAAAGATTTTAGCAGGATTTCAAAATATAAAATCAATATATAGTATTAGTTTTATTTACATATACTCTACTATTAAGCAATTGGAAATTGAAATTTAAAACTGTCACTTATTATAACAAATATGAAATACTTAGGGTTGAATTTGACAAAAGATACAGAAGATCTGTACACTGAAAACTAGAACACATTGTTGAAAACAATTAAAGAAGACTTAAATAAATAAACCTTGTTTGTGAATGGGTGACTTAATAATATGTATTAATATGCTAATTCTCCTTAAATTGATCTATACAGTCAATGCAGTTACTTTCTGAATTTCAGCATGCTTTTATTTAGAAATTAACAAACTGATTTTTAAAATCATATGGAAATACAAAGGATCTAGAATAGCCAAAACTCTTAAAATAAAACAAAGTTGGAGGATTAATGCCACCTGATTTGAAGACTTTTTACAAAAACAGTAATCAAGACAAAAACATAGATGAATCAATTAAACAGAATAAAGAGTAAAGAAATAGACTCAGACATATATGAACAACTGATTTTTTATACATTTAGTGGAGAAAACAAGTCTTTTCAACAGATAATACTGGAATAATTGGATATTGATATTCAAAACAGTGAACTTTATTTATACCTCACTTCATATAAAAATTTTTAAATGAAAATAGATCATAGTCCTAAACGTAAAATCTCAAACTATAAACTGGAAGGAAACAGAGGAGAACATTTTTGTGATTTTGAATTAGAAAATGATTTAGATGTCACCCAAAGCACAATTTACATACACAAAATGATAAATTAGACTTTATAAACATTTAAAACTTATGTTCTTTGAGTGATACTGTTAGAAGAAGGAAGAAACAAGCCATGGACAGGGAGAAAACTTTTGCAGAGTATATGTTTGAAAGTAAAAGATTGTGTCCAGCATATATTAAAAACTCCCCGACTTTGGTAAGAACACAAACAATTCCAATTAAAGAAAAAAAGTAGGCAAAAGATTTGAAGAGACACTTCACCAAAGAAGATATATAGGACTTCTGGTCAAGATGGAGAAATTCCTCTCCTCCTTGTACAACTACAGCAAAAATTACAACTAGACTACAAAACAAATATCACCTAGAATTGTCATAAAATTGAACTGTATGGAAGTCTGACAAACAAGGATTTAAAGAAAGTATGTTCATCCAGATGGGTAGGAAGGGCGGGGAGGTGGAGACGCTTGGAGAGGTGCGGAGATGCGGATTGGCAGTT